CCGTCTACTACGGTGATACCAGTGATGGTAGTGATGGCAGTGGCGAATTGATTGTCGAGATTTCGTCGGTCTCTGCTGCAGCAGCAGACGGCTCGTCTGGTGCGGTAGCGGGCCCGACTATAAAGAGGATCTCACCAACGACTGATAATTTTTTGGTGAGGGGGGTGGCTTTAGTTGCTGGGGTGGATGTTGGAGGTCGTATGGAATCTTGCCCGCTGGATGCCGCTGGGTGCAGTTGGGTGCCGCTGGGTGCTTGGGTAGTTATCTGGTTGCTATTCAGTTGTTAATTAGTGACGCCTGGGGCTTACCATTTGTGTCGGTTGGTGTGTGTCATCTAGGTACTTGCGTGTAACAGCAACTGACTGCCATCTGATATGCTCTCATCCAATCAGATTTGATCTGATTTGAGGCGCATGTGTGGGTGTGGGTGCATGCAGGTGTACCTGTTGAACGGCAGCACGGCGGTGGTGTGGATTCACTTTTGAGGCGCCTCAAAAGGATATGTGCATGTGCGCTGCATGTGTGTGTGTGTGTGTGTGTGTGTGGGTGCATGCAGGTGTACCTGGTGGGCAACAGCACGGCGGTGGTGTGGATTCACCAGTTCTTTTTCAGCGAGGCAGTGATGAAGGTGTTGCAGGCCAATAAGGTTGACCCGGAGATGTACATGGTCATGGAGGTCACCAAGGCCCTCAACACCGCTGCAGCGTCAGTACTCCTCTCCACCTCCTCCTACTCCTCTCCACCTCCCCCTACTCCTCTCCACCTCCCCCTACTCCTCTCCACCTCCTCCTCTCCACCTCCCCCTACTTCTCTCCACCTCCCCCCTCTACTACTCCTCTCCCATCCCCTTCCTTCCTTCTACTACCCCCTTAGTTGCTTTAGGCAGCGCGTCTTGTTATATAATGATAGCACCCAGCCCCCCTACCTTCCCCACTCCATGACTCATGCTGGTTCCCGGCTCTCAATTCATTTGTCACCTGCCTTGTTATCCTCATCACTTTCCCACCCTTCTGCTACTTGCCCTTTTCCCCATGCCTGTTTCCATGTCCCTTCCCTTGAATCCCCCATGTGTTCCCCCACGCATCCTCCCATGTGGTACCCCATGCCTCTCGCCATGTGTGCCTGCATGCGTCATCTCATCCCATGCTCCCCTCCCCTTTTCAGATATCCAGCGCCTCTCAGATCATCATCATCACATACGTGCGTGGCAACGGTGGCGGTTCCGTTGCAGCAACGCTCATGTGTCCCCCCATTTGTCCCCCCCACGTGTCCCCCCATGTGGCCCCCCACGTGTCCCCCCACGTGTCCCCCCATGTGGCCCCCCACATGTCCCCCCATGTGTCCCCCCATGTGTCTCCCTATGTGTCCCCCCATGTGTCCCCCCATGTGTCTCCCTATGTGTCCGCCATGTGTCCCCATTCCCGCATGTTTTTCCGTGCCTCCCCCCACACCCCCCCCCATGCCTCCTCCCCCCATGCCCCCCCTCCAGATCCAACGCCTCGCAGATAATCATAGACGTGCGGGGCAACGGGGGCGGGTACACGGCAGCGGGGTACACAGCCATCCGGCTGCTCATGGGGGCAGCCAAGGCGCCCGACTCCGACTTCGCCCTGCCAGTGGACTTCATCATCGGCACCGAGTACGCCGAGAACGCCATCACCGCGCTCTCCATCGACCCCACCACGCAGTACTTCATAGGATTGTACGCAGACCTCAACGGGACCGGGTTCACCAGCGCCTTTGACTACGCGCCTTTCCGCGAGCTCCGCTTCACGGAAACCGGCCCGGCGGGGAAATACTCGGCGCCGTTCAAGTTGAATAAGCAGTTTACCGGGAAGCAGGAGCAGCCGGTGTTTGGGGATCGCCCGTTCCTCGTCCTGTCGGATGGGAATTGCTTTTCTGCCTGCGCCATCCTCACGCACGTCCTGGGGAAACGCCACAAAGTACCCATGGTAACTGTGGGTGGTTTGCCCAACGAGCCTCCGGCCGTGAGCTCCTCGTGCCTCGGGTTTACCGAGCCTAACATCTTTTCATTGTCAAAAGGCCTTAGCAATCTCGCTGCCTTGGTGCCACAGAACGCGTCGTTGCCTCTCAAGGTGAAAGGGGCGGTTGGCATGGCGCTTACTAACGGGTATGTGGATTCGAAGATTCCGTGCGAGTTTGTATTTCTGCCCAGCCAGCATCACATCAACTACACCGTTGATCTGATTGGCAAGCCCTGGGCCATGTGGAGTGAGGTGGCCAAGCTCTTTGCCTCCGGTGCAGTTTAGGCAATGTGTTGTGTTGACACCAAGATCAGGCGCCCTAACAATTGACACCTCAGCAGCTTAGTTCATTCATCAGGTGCCCTGACAGTTGACTGACACCACAGCAACCTAGCTCATGCCTTCTCGTGTGTGGTATTGGCTGAAAATGAGGCTCCCAAAGTCTTCTCTTGGGCTAGTGGTCGTGCTTTTGGTGGTTATGTGGATGGATGGGTGCTGAAGGTTTTCAGTTTTTCATGGTGCGTGTTTGTTATGGAAATAAGGGAGATTTGTTATGTCGAGGAGTGTGATTCACTTTCCTGGTTTCCTAACTGAAATAGGTGTTATGGAAGAGACGAGAACTTTATAAGGTAACATGACTAGATTGACACCAATGAACAAAATAATATCGAGTACACATTCTCCAGCGTTTTTTTGCCACACCAGCAGATCCTTCCATAGATGTTAGGGTATGCTGATGTGGCTTCATGTGATGTCAAAATGTTTACCACCACGTCACGGCACGTCCATCGTGCTCGCCTTTGAAATCAAGCCGGTTGAAGCCGTTTACCTGTCATTCCGACAGTCAGCTGTCAGGATGAAAGAATCAACGCTCGAGTGCAAGTATCCATCCAATGGTCCTCCTCAGCTGACAGGTGCGCTACGCCGCCGCATTTCCAAGCCCTCCAACACTCCAATACTTTCCCCATTCCCTAGACTCCCCATATTCCCTCCCCCATTCCCCGTTTCCCCTTAGATTTCCCCCAGCTCCGCAAATCTTGCGATTGGAGTTCCCGAAGTTCCTGCTGGCTCTTTCAGCCCCATCGTCCCCAAGATTGCCTTATTTCTCACACAAGCAGCCTCATTTTCGACACCCGACTAGGTTTGGAGGCGCTGCGGTTTCTCACTTTGACTTGAGAGACGGACGCGTCGGCCACCTCGTGCGACTCGATTCTGGGTTGCGCTGGATTGAGTATCCGCGACGTCGCCGAATGGAAGGAGCACGCACACGCACCGCTCTGCCTGAGCCAGCTGCTGTGCCAGCTGAGTCAAGGCAACGCTTAGTACCATCCCGTTCCACACAGCGCCAAAAAGCTCCTTCTGTCATCTAGCAGCCCAACACTCTCTGACCTGCATAGTTTGAGCGATATGGCCATCCGCGTTACAAGCATCCTCATAGCGGTTCTCTGCCTTGCCACAGCTGCCTCCAGCTCCTCCATTCCTCTAAACTTCACCGCTTTTCACCGTGAAGGACCGCGTCGCGCTCTCCTGCAAATCCCCCCGTTCGACCCCGCTGCAGCCCTGGGCGCAGCAGCAGGAGCCATGGCCGGCGCCGTCCAATCAGCAGCCGCCACGTTGGCCAGCACCATCGCGCAAGCTCCTGGCGGGCTCCTATTCCACGACGCGGCGGGAATCTGCCTTGATTTCGGCCCTCTGCCCGCCTGCGACTTCTATTTCGATCTGCTCGGTCCGCACGGGCTGCCCTCGCTGCGCGTCCCCGTCGTCTCCGGCGGCGCCCTCATTCTCTCCCAGCAGAACGGCGATCGCCCCGTGAGCCTCGCCATCGCCACCGGCGTTTCGCCTGACGCTAACGAATTTCTTGGCGATAAGAAGGCGAAGAAGGGTGGTTACCAGGTGGAGATTGACGCGACGGGCCCGGCGAAGTACTGCAAGTGCGAGGCGGCGAAGCTGGCGCAAACAGTGGCGCATGCTGGCGATCAGTTCTACGCCACTGGACAGGTGAGTGCTCTCTGTTCTCCACTCCTCACCCCTCCTCTCTCCCACTTCAATTCCCTCCCCCTTCCCTCTCGTTGCTCCTTTGCAAACCACTCCCAACGCCCCTCCTCCCCCCCCCCCCCCACGCTCCCCCCTTTCTTTCCTTCCCCTCCCATAAGTTTTCATTCCTTCCCACCACCACTGCTACCTTATGAATCCTACCTCCTTTTACCCCCAATCACCTCCTCCCCGATCCCCCTTACTTCCGCCATCCATCCGCCAAGAAACGAAGCTTTCTGGCTGAGAACATTCCAGGAAAAAAACAGAATCCAAATAGTCACGCTCGCAACTCGACCGATTATCCGTTTTGACACACAACAGAAATGGTGTAACCCGGGGGTATACTCAAATGGTGTCTCTCAAATGCACCCACGCACCACCCCCTTTCCCCCCCACCCCCCCTGTTCCCCGTAGCCGGCCAAGGTATGCGCACGCACGTTTCAGAAGAACCTGCCAGCGTCGGCCTTCAAGGGGTGCTGTGTGCGCCTGCCTCTCACCAGCGTGCAGCTCAAGGCACCCAATGGTGACGTCATCAACCTCAACCAGGGCGACGGCAACAAACAGTTCCCTGAGCCCCGCCGCTGCCTTCTCTTCCATGTGCTCACTGTGTGATGGTGGTAGAGGATCGGCATTGTTTAGTTTCATTCCCTAGTGTGGAGTGGCAGCACAGAGTAGAGAGCAGATGGAAAAAAAAAAGCTAATTTTACCTAGGAGTAGTTCGTCTCATTCACAAAGCTAGGCACTGTATCATCAGTCTCATTACCGTATGAGATCTAGCAGCGACCGTGGACCATTTTATGGAGTTTTGACAGTAAAAGTATTCACTGTGATTTCAAGAAGTGACATTGCCTGACTCACAACCCACAAAGCACCACTGGGTGCATGGATCCTTTGATTTGAACTAGTGATTGTGTACGTACACCAGAAAACATCGGCAGATAATTACTGTATCGGAACATAAGTATCAAAACCACTGTCATGTTAAAGCAGCTGCTGCTTCGTCCCTGAGTGTAGCTCGTAACACTTCATCTAGTCTCATGCACCCAGCAATACCCAGCTCCACCGCTTCATTAACTCGTTTGACCGACATATTCCCCGTGACATTGCACAGCACCACCTCGTTCAGTGATGGCATCAGTGCCACCACCACCCGTCCCTCCTCCACCCGCTCCTCCTGTGAACTGGGATCCAATAGCAGGTCGCCACGGCATATGCTCCGATTTGATTTGAGAGAGGAGAGATCAAGAAGTGCGGGAAGATTTGGGTAGTGCACGAGAGGGGGAAGGATGGTGAGTGGAGCATGAGGGATAGGTGAGAATTTCCAGTTGGAAAAAAAGCAAAGACTGGGCGAGACTAGACACAAGATGCTGTGCATTTGGCTGCCTAGCATTTTGGTGTGTGAGGAAGGAGGAGATGGATGGGTGGCTGACTGTGAACAGTGTGTGGGCCCATGGCAGCGCTGTATTCAACGATGACAGATGGAGTGGCATGCTTGCAGAGCTCTAGGGGCTCCTGTCCCTTTCTCATATCATATCTGTTGCTCATATGGTGACCACGACTGAAGCAAGCAAGTGAAGGACCCTTAACGGCACCACCCACTCACCACAACCGACGCGGTAACCAGGTCGTTGAGATGCACGCCTGCGTCTGCCAGCGCCATGGATGCCGCTGTGATCATCACTGCCACGTCAGCTGGGGGTGACACGGGGAGGGTGGGCGGGGAGGTGGGTGGAAGCGATGGGAGAGGAATGAGTGCGGGGAGACGAATGGGCGCGAATTACTAACAGGGAAAGGGAAAGAGATGGGCAGAGGCGAAAGGGATGAAAGGGGAAGGGGATGCGAGGGCGGAAAGCATACTAGCAAGTCCATTCCCATTGAACACAACTCGGCGTCACCTCCACCCAACTCCAGCAGCAGCAGAGAGACATCAAGCGTGAACTTGGGGAAGAGGTGTAGCTGAAACTGGTTACCACCTGGTTACCACCTGGTTACCACCTGGTTACCACCTGACGAGCTCGTAGCGTGTGTGCTCTCCTCTCACTTCCACCGGACTCCAGCAGCAGCAGGGAGACATCGAGGGCGGCCTTGGGGAAGACGTGCAGCTGAACCTGGTTACCACCTGGTCTCCAACTGGTTACCACGTGGTGTGCTGTGAGCGTGTGTGCTCTCACCTCCACCAGACTCCAGCAGCAGCAAGGAGACGTCGAGGGTGGCCTTGGGAAAGAGGTGCAGCTGAATGGCCGGCAGCAGCGCACTCTCCACCTCACTAGCTAGCCGCTCCTCTGCTCCCTGCACGCACGCATGGTGCGTTCATGGTGATGGGTGATGGGTGATGGGTGGCAGCAATGCCTTGAGCTATGGGTCATAGAGTCATGATACATGAACCTGCACAGTCATGGGTAGCAGAGGCAAGGCCTTAAAGTCATAGGCCATGAATCATTGCTCACGGCTGATGGTGCCAAAAGGTTTTTCAATGTAGAGGTTCTCTTACCCTACCTTTGCAGAACACCCGATTGCTACTCTGAGCGTCATGACAGCTAAAATGACTCACCTGCGTGCTGCTGTTGCGGTTGGGCGTGGCGAAGGGTGCTATTCTGACGTCACACTTGAGACGCCCCTTCCCCCCCACCGATTGCTCCGCCTTGCGACTCTCCCGTGGACCAAAGCTGCACATGGTGAGGGGGGGCGAGGGGAGAGGAAGGGATTGGAGTGGGAAGGGGGGGAGAAGGTGAGAGAATGGGAGAGGAGGGAGGGGATAGGACAAATTTATAGATCAGAGGCGCAAGGTGCTAATGGGAACAAGAAGTGGGGCGTGTGGAATGTCACGAACGCGACTAGTGCATAAGACAGGCCGTAACAGCAAACAGTGAGTCACATGTGAGACGTAATATCCTGGACATCTCCCAAGTGCTTCTCAACAGAAGCGGTCACAAGTGTGGCGATTGGTCACGATCAGCCAGCCCGCTTGCAAACCTCCCTCCCAGCAACACAGAACCACAGCAGATTTCACAAAGCTGTAAAATGTCACAAAGCTGTGGAATGTCACAAAGCCGTTGCATGAGCAGATGCGCAGCATAGCAGCAAAACGTTGTCGGGAGTGCTGGTGGAGTCAGACAGAAAGATTCCAAGCCACATAGCAGAACAGAACAGAAATGTGGAACGCCACACATAATAGAGCATATACGCTAGATTATAACACCTCCACTCACACGGCATAGAAGTTGAGTTTTGAGATGGTTTCAACACTCAGCTTTTATTACAGAGCAATTACGCTGGGTCATCACACCTCCACTCACACGGCCACTATCACTTTGGTGCCACCGAACTCCGCATATGCGGACCCCGACGCCTGTGTGACTGTCTTTGCCTTGAGAACTGCCAGGGGTGCGAGGGGGGTTGGGGGGGGAGGGAGGGGACGCAGGGTGAGAGGAAACGGGGTGTGGGAAGTGGGGGAAGCGGCGGGTTGATGGGAGAAGGGGCAGGGGTTGGGGGGGATCAGAAAAGGGGCGGCAGGGAGGGGAATGAGAGAGAAGAAAGGAAGGAGTGGGGAGAGGGGAGTGATTGGGGAGAGGGGAGAGCGGGGATGGGGGAGTGAGTGGGAAGAGGGGAGTGAGTAGGGATAGGGGGGTGAGTGGGGATAGGGGAGTGAGTGGGGATAGGGGAGTGAGTGGGGATAGGGGAGTGAGTGGGGATAGGGGAGTGAGAGGGGGGAGGGGAGTGAGTGGGGGGAGGGAGTGAGTGGGGAGAGGGGAGTGAGTGGGAATAGGTGAGTGAGTGAGGGTAGGGGAGTGAGTGGGGATAAGGGAGCGAGTAAGAGTGAAGACCTCCTGAATGTGATGAGTGAAAACAAACTCGACATTTACAGGGTGAGAAGTGTTTTGATCCCAAACCCGGTGATTTTCAAGTCTACTCCTGAGTTCCGAGCGCGGCGCGCGCATTCACACGCGTCGCGCGCACTCACACGCGGCGCGGCTCTCCTCCAGCGACCGGCCGTCGCCGCGGAGCCCGTCGTCGCCGATCACGCGCGCCAGCGACCCCGCCGTGCCCCGCCGCTTCAACGGCGGGTACGACAGCACGGCGGCGCGCCGCTGGTGCGCCAGCGCCATCGCTGCGAAGGCGCTGACTCAGTCAGAAGCGCGACGTGGTAAGCGTGTGTCGGCACTACACTTAGGACGCAAGGTTGAGTAGTGGTAACGGTCCTCTTTGCTGCTCGGAGCTGGTGGCGCGATCGCGGCTGAGATACGACAGAACACACGGAATGAAAGGGGCGAGAACATCCGAGAAAAGGTGACGCTGTCGTAGAGTTGCAGATATTACTCTAGACATATTGAACCACCCAGAAACGAATACGGTAGCATATCTTTAGGTTGTGTATCAACATGTTTAACTAGGAAAAATACACCTTTCCAGACTTTAATTGCGTAGGAATCTCACAACCGTCCATTTGTATACGAATTACACAATTGAAAGCTATAAGGTGTCATGAGACAATTGTTTCCTGCATTAGAGAGGGGAGGCTTGTGATGAAATGGGGACGTATGCGCACAATAGTTGTAACGGACACAAGTTTTTTATGCAAAATACTATATCGGTGTTAAAACAGCACCTCACAGCTCAATAGCAGCAATGCTTCACCCTCTATCGCAACGACGCCGCCTTCGCGAAGGATCTACGACAATGTCGAACTCTCCAGTCTACACGTGGATGGATTATGGAACACGTGGCACGCGCCTTGCTGCGCTGTGCTCCGTCCGCCTCCTCCGTCTGCTTGTTTGCTGCGCGGATGCGCACGGTAATGCGTGAGGCGCAAGCGAACGAACCGAATTCTCTCTGTTACTTCATCCCTCCCGCTTTTCGTGAGCACTACATATTTCGCCTTCCCACGTCAGATCTGTGTTCTCTGACAAGCTGCTCCATTCCAATTTTCCTGTACCGCAAACAAATCTTGCTCTCCATCACAGCAGGAACAAATTTGCTTTCCCACAACGTTTCCCAGTCTTTCCATACATGTGCGCAGCCACTCTCGTGCGTCTTGCCAACCGCACTGTGCCTCGCGTTATGGATACCGTCGCCGCTCGTCTCGCCGCCCCACGGCAGGTGGCGCCGGCAGCAGCGCTTCGCCCGCATCCTCGCCGCACTCCCGTCGCGACTCTTCATTCTCTTCCCCGTGTCGGCCCGCAGCTACTGGCACGCTGCCACGTGTCGCCGTCTGCGTCGCTTGCCGTTCGCACGGCATCGTCTGGCTCCTCTACTCAGTTGTCGTCGGATTTCATCAAGTCGCAGCTGCGACACTTTAATGGGCGACCCCTTTCGTCAGCCCTAGTCCAATCGCCAGGAGTGGCGCCTCGACGGCGGTTCCACCGTTCTGCACCATGCCGTGCTGCAGCCAGCGGAGGCAGGGTGAGACCATGAGCACAGTTTAGGATAGGGAGTTTGGAAAGATTAGGGTTCAGCAGGCTGTGAGATACCCCCTGCTTTTATTCCGTCAGTCCTGTGCCTGCGCGTGACGTGCTTTTTTCCAAGTCGTTTTGTTTCTATGCGATTATCTTCTCATCCATTCTGTTATGCAGCGCTGGTTTGCGTTGCGCTGTTCGATGCGCACCTTCATCCATCCGCGCCTCCACACTCTCCCCACACATGCTGACGTCTTCCCCTCTTCCTGTCCCCCTCACCCGCCTTCCGCTTCACACTCTTGCGCGCGCAGATCAGCCAGGGCGAGTTCACGGAGGCGGCGTGGCAGGTGATAATCGCGTCGCCGGAGGTGGCGAAGGAGAGCCGGCAGCAGATCGTGGAGACGGAGCACCTCATGAAGGCGCTGCTGCAGCAGCGCAACGGCCTCGCGCGCCGCATCCTCGCCAAGGCCGGCAGCGACGGCACGGAGCTGCTCTCCGCCACGGACCGCTACATCGCGCGCCAACCCAAGGTGCGTTGTTTTTCCAAGGTGGGTGCGTCGTGAGTCGTGCGTCGCTGGCGTCCAAAGGTCCGTCGAGCTGATAGAGTTTCGAGTCGTCTCGCACACTCTCCCCTCTTCCCTCAACCTCTCCGTGGTTCCCTTTCCCTCCTCCCCTCCCCACCCCCTCCCTCCCCCCCGTCTCCGCGCAGGTGTCGGGCGACTCGAGTCAGATGCTGGGGCGCGATCTGGAGGCGCTGATAGAGCGCGCGCGGGGGTTCAAGGCGAGCATGGGCGACGAGTTCGTGTCCATCGAGCACCTGCTGCTCGCCTTCGTCGGCGACAGGCGCTTCGGCGAGAAGGCGCTGCGCGACGCGGGGCTGTCGCAGGCGGCGCTGGAGAAAGCCGTCGCTGAAGTGCGCGGATCGCAGAAGGTCACCGACCAGCGTGAGTTACCGCACCGCACCGCACCGCACAGCAGGGGACCGCAATGAACTAAACCGATTAGCACTAATGGCTGCACCGCATCACACTGCACTGCACCGCAGAATCGATTGCACAGGAGGTCATTTCTGAGCCTATCCAGAGGACTTCTCCTATCCAGTTGCAGTCCCCGGTCACCATTCCCTTCCCCTTTCGCCGTCCCCGTCAACCCCCTTCTCCCCATTCCCCGCGCCCCCCACCCCCCTGCCGTTCACACGCGCTCCATTGGCGCGTGCAGAGTGGAGAACAAGTACGAGGCGCTGGAGCACCTGACGGAAATGGCGCGGTAGGGCAAGCTTGTAGGACGCTGTATCCTTATCCCTTCCCCCCCCCTTCCCCTTGTCTTCCTCCCCCCCACAGAGCCGGAGAACAAGTACGAGGCGTTGGAGCGGTACGGGCGGGATTTGACGGAGATGGCGCGGCAGGGCAAGCTGGACCCGGTGGTGGGGCGCGACGACGAGATCCGCCGCGCCATCCAGATCCTCTCGCGCCGCACCAAAAACAACCCCGTGCTCATTGGCGAGCCGGGCGTTGGCAAGACTGCTATTTCTGAAGGGTGAGAGACTTATGGGGCGAGGGGTGGCGGTGGGTGGCGGGTGAGGGGTGGGGAGTTGACCCGTCACGCTGCTGCTATTCCTCTTGGTGTCGCCGCTCCCACCATGCGCTAGCTATCCAACGGTTATGCCGCCACATTGCATCAAGTGTGTCGTGCGTGCACAGCACAGTGCGCCCCACTCGCTCCCACTGTCTCCCACAGGGCCGCACTCAACACGCACCTCGTGCATCTCTCTCCCCCTCCCACGGCCCACAACCCTGTCCGCCCCGTCTTCCCACGGCAGCTTGGCGCAGCGCATAGTGCAGGGCGACGTGCCAGAGGCGCTCATCAACCGCAAGGTGAGAGTCACCAGCGCCACACACGCCACACCCGCCACACACGCTCCTCCAAGCCCCTCTGCATGCCTGCTTGCCTCCATGCATGCATGCACCTTATTGGGTACCTCTCGGGTGCCTAGCCCGTTGGTTTCCATTCCACCTCCTTTTACCACCGCTCCATGTGTACTGGGGGCCGTACAACATCACCCTACTGCTCCCACCCATTCTGCCTTTCTCTCCACCATCTCCCTTCCCGACTTTCAGCCCTCATCCCTTCCTAACCCCTCCGCCCCCGCTTTCTCTCCTCCTCTCTCCTCGACTCCCCCGGGCCCTTCCTGTGCCCCTCCCCCCATGCGCCACCCCCTGTGCAGCTGATATCGCTGGACATGGGCGCGCTGATAGCGGGCGCCAAGTTCCTTTTACACCCAGTCAAACGCTCACCCTTCTTTCCGCTTTCCCCGCCCCCCTGCTGCGCCCCTCCGCCCATGCGCGCACGCGGTGCAGCTGATATCGCTGGACATGGGCGCGCTGATCGCAGGCGCCTAGTTCCGGGGGGAGTTTGAGGACCGGCTGAAGGCGGTGCTCAAGGAGGTCACTGCCCTCACGATAACCTCCACATCTCTTTATTACTCACTAAACCTTCCCCCTTCTCTCCCCATTTTCCCCTCCGCAGCTGATATCCTTGGACATGGGCGCGCTGATAGCGGGCGCCAAGTTCCGGGGGGAGTTTGAGGATCGGCTGAAGGCGGTGCTCAAGGAGGTCACTGACAGCAACGGCGGCATCGTGCTCTTCATCGACGAGATCCATACCGTTGTGGGCGCTGGTGAGATGAATGGATGGTGATGCAGGGTGTTACTGAGAATTCTCCAAAACACCCTGAGATCGATGAGTAGATGGTTGAGTGGCATCGTGCTCTCCATTGACGAGATCCACACCGTTGTTGGCGCTGGTGAGTGCCGCTGCTGAGATGCGTAGGTGGATGGGTTGAGAGGGAGCGGTGAGAGGGTGAGTTGATGCAAGTCCAATAGATAAGTTTACCATACATCGACAGTTGTAACTGGTGAGAGGATGAGTGGCATCGTGCTCCCTATCCCCCCTCTAATTTAATCTCCCTTCGTCGTCTGTCCCTTCCCTTCCTCTTCTCCGCTGCTCTGCTGCTCCCACTCCCGTCCTCACCACTCTATCCTCACCTCCCCTTGCTTGCGTGATTTGCATCCCCTCCCTCCCCAGGAGCGAGCGAGGGAGCCATGGACGCAGGCAATCTCTTAAAGCCCATGCTGGGGCGCGGCGAGCTGAGGTGCATCGGAGCCACGACCCTGGACGAGTACCGCAAGCACATAGAGAAGGACCCGGCGTTGGAGCGCCGCTTCCAGCAGGTGTACGTGGGGCAGCCCTCCGTGCCGGACACCGTCAGCATCCTGCGCGGGCTCAGGGAGCGCTACGAGCTGCACCACGGCGTGCGGATTAGCGACAACGCTCTGGTGGCGGCTGCGAGTCTCTCGGACCGCTACATCTCTGACCGCTTCCTGCCGGATAAAGGTGTGTCTGGCTGTGGGTGCTGTTTTCAGTAGGCGGTGTCTCAGCAGGTGCATGTACGGGGGGCAGCCCTCTGTTACCGATACCGTCAGCATCCTGCGCGGGCTGAGGGAGCGCTACGAGCTGCACCACGGAGTGCGCATCAGTGACAACGCTCTGGTGGCGGCGGCGTCCCTGTCGGATCGCTACATCTCCGACCGCTTCCTGCCCGAGATGTAGCGCATGGGGTTCCTTGTGAGGGTGCAGCCTGGGAAGGGTTCGTCGCCAAGTGCTGTGGAGTCTGGGCGTGGAATTGTGTTTGTGTATGTATTCACAGGTGTGGACAGAAGCTAGCCCGCATCTTTAGGTCTCTCAGCTCCGATGTTAAGGATCTCCCCGGCTGCCTCTGATTCCCCCCTCCCATTCACCCTCCACGCATTCAGCAATCGACCTGGTGGACGAGGCAGCGGCAAAGATCAAGATGGAGATCACATCAAAGCCCACTGCCTTGGACGAGGTGGATCGTGCCGTGCTCAAGCTCGAGATGGAACGCCTCTCCCTCGGCAACGACACCGACAGGTGCCCTGCCTGCCTGCTTCGCCCCGTTGACCCCCTTGACTCTGTTGACCTTTTTTGACTTTGTTGACTCTTCTCAACGTGCTGTTTCTTTCGACTGTCACTGTGTTGGTCGACGCCGCCCACTTCGGCGCTACCACACTTCACTCCAACCTTCAGTTCACCCATCAACCTGTCACGCTGTTCCCCCCTCCCCTCCCACACATCTCCTCCCCCTCTCCTCCCCTCAGGCTGTCCCGGGAGCGGTACGAGCGGCTGGAGAACGAGCTGAAGGTCCTCAAGTCCCGCCAGGCGGAGCTCACGGAGCAGTGGGAGCGGGAGAAATCGGTGATGTCGCGCATCCAGAGCATCAAGGAGGAGGTGGACCGGGTGAACGTGGAGATCGGGCAGGCGGAGCGCGACTACGACCTCAACCGCGCGGCGGAGCTCAAGTACGGCAACCTCATCTCCCTGGAGAAGCAGCTGTCCGACGCCGTGGCGGCGCTGAACGAGTACCAGCAGTCGGGCAAGTCCATGCTGCGCGAGGAGGTCACCAGCAGTGACATTGCCGAGGTGGTGGCCAAGTGGACGGGCATTCCCGTGGACAAGTTGCAGGAGTCGGAGAGGGAGAAGCTGCTCAAGCTGGATGATGAGCTGCACAAGAGGTTGATTGGCCAGGAGACGGCGGTTACGGCGGTGGCGGAGGCGATTCAGCGGTCCAGGGCTGGACTGTCGGACCCCAACCGCCCGATCGCCAGCTTCATGTTCATGGGACCCACCGGTGAGTTGCATTTTGACGAAAATACCACCTTTGTTGACTCCCCTCACTGTCCATGGGTCGGATGCTTCCCCCTCTCGTTGCATCTACTGCGTTCTCGTCTCATGCCTCACCTCCCGTTCTCCTCAACCTTTCCTCTTCCCTCCTCTCCTCTCCTCTCCCTTTTGACTCCTCCTTCCGCCCAGGCGTGGGTAGAACCGAGCTGGCCAAGTCCCTCGTGGCATTCCTGTTTGACAGCAAGGAGGCGTTGGTTCGCATCGACATGAGCGAGTACATGGAGAAGCACTCCGTGTCGCGCCTCATCACACCCCCTCTCTTCCATCCCCGCCTTTCTCCCACGTCCCCCTTATGCTCCCCCAGGTGTGGGAAAGACGGAGCTGGCCAAATCTCTCGCGGCATTCCTGTTCGACAGCGAGGAGGCGTTGGTGCGCATCGACATGAGCGAGTACATGGAGAAGCACTCTGTGTCGCGCCTCATCGGAGCGCCCCCGGGCTACGTGGGGTACGAGGAGGGCGGGCAGCTCACGGAGGCGGTGCGGCGGCGGCCGTACTCCGTGGTGCTGTTTGACGAGGTGGAGAAGGCGCACGGGGACGTCTTCAACGTCTTCCTGCAGGTGCGTCCTCGCTGTCCTTGACTTTGTGTGTGCTATTCTATGCCTTGCTGGTGTGCTGCCGTGCCTCCTGGCTGCTGCTCCTGCCATCCTCGCCTCCTCACGCCAAACTCTTTCCTTCGCACCTTCCTCCCTTTTCTACTACTATCTGCATGGCAGATTTTGGACGACGGGCGCGTGACGGACAGCCAGGGCCGCACAGTGTCATTCCGCAACACGGTGATCATCATGACGTCCAACGTGGGCTCGCAGTACATCCTGCAAGCACTCGACCACCAGACCGCTGACAAGGACGTGCAGTACCAGGTGCGTGTTCTCTGCTGTGGCGGTGGGTGTTCACTGCCATCTGCTGCCTTGCGAATGCTCTCATGTGGACGTTTTCTTCTGTGGCTTCCATGCTGCTTCCTTAATTGTCTTTCCTTCGTCTCACCCACCCACCTCCCACCCAACCCCAACCCCAACCCCAACCCCAACCCCAACCCGAATCCCCCTCTCCTCCTGTCACCCCCACGCAGGTTCGTAGGAGCGTGTGATGGAATCAGTACGGACCATCTTCCGTCCTGAGCTCATGAGCCACATTGACGACTTTTTTGTCCTCCACTCCCCACACACTATGCTCCCTTTTGCTGATTCAACTCCTGCCTCCTCTTCCTTCTCTCCGCCCACAGGTGATGAAGGAGCGCGTGATGGATTCAGCGCGTTCCATCTTCCGCCCCGAGTTCATGAACCGCATCGACGACTTCATCGTCTTCCAGTCGCTCGACGCCGCTCAGATCACGCGCATCGTGCGCCTGCAGCTGGCGCGCGTGCAGCAGCGCCTCAAGGACCGCAAGATCCGCCTGCAGGTCACCGACGCCGCCGTCGACCACCTGGGCCACCTCGGGTACGACCCGGCGTACGGTGCCCGCCCGGTGAAGCGGGTGATTCAGCACGAGGTGGAGAATGAGCTGGCCAAGGGCATTCTGAGGGGGGATTTCGGGGAGGATGATGTGGTGGTGGTCGATACAGAGATTGTGGTGGGGGGTGCCGGTGGGGTGCCGACGACTCGGCTTACGTTTAAGGCGGAGCACGGTGGGGCGTTCAGTGGTGGGGAGAGTGATGCTGAGGCCAAGGAGCAGGCCAAGAGCTTGTTTGCTTAGGTTGGGGTGTGCAGGCAAGACTTGTTTTAGAGTTATAGCAGATTGATCAGCTGAACTGTATGTACTTGTGAATTTGCTGAAATACTAGTCAACAGATGTGGCATGTACATGTGCTAGGTTCTACCGTACTATTTCCAGGTGCTCATTATTTTGTATATGGATTTAGCCTAATTCGTCTAAACCGGTTTCCGCTACACTCAATCAACAGAATTCCCCGCATAATATCGGGTGACCTCTTGGGAGCTGTGCTTGAGCATCCCTAGATTTTGGTGCTACGTTCTGGTTCTGCGTTTTGAGCCCCGTATCGCGAGTCACGACCTTGGGATGTGACGCGGAGAGTCCTTGGGTTTGTTCTATGTGGATGGCAGGAGCTCTAGCTGGAAGAGCACCCTTGGGTGAAAGTTTCGGGATTAGATCGAGTCGCGACCTTGAGATGTTTTTTGTAATGGCTCGACTCGAAGCACCTGAGTGGAAACGGAGTGAATCAAGCAGATTCATTTCCGGTTTGCAGCAGCCAGGAGCCTGGAAGAGCGAGAGATTCGCACAACCTTCCGCTTTGGACAACTCCTGTCCGCTTCGGCATTCGCCATGGCCATTCAGAAAAAAGTCGATCCTTCGCGTAGCGGAGCATCGAGAAGCAACCCTATTCTGCTTGATTCCGCCTCTGCATCTGATGATCCGTTGATAACGACAGATGGCGAAGCGGACGGCTGGCGGATATTGTTTTGGGCCAAACCAGGGGACCGCGAAGGTGCTTGCTTGCCGTCGCCACAGCCATTTATATCGTCCACTTTCCAGCTCTTCCACTCTCCGCACGCCCTCATCCAGCACCGCTGCGCCGGCTGTCGTTCCGCCATTGCCGACGGTTCCGTTGCTGCTGCTTATGGCGCCTTACGCGATAGTACCAGCGCCGACGATCCTTGGGGACATGCCGCTGTGCTGCGAGCTTTTATCGAGCGCAACGGACGGACAACCACGCAAGCAGTGGAGGAAGGACAGCCGTGTGAGGACAGCGCGATGGAGCTGTGCGAGTGTGTGCGTGAGGCAGCACGTGACGGGCAGGGCCCGTCGTGGTCGTCGGGACGGCTGCAGCTGGCATCAGTGGCTGCGGAGGACGTCATGCTGCACCTGGTGCGGCTGCGGGGACGGGGAGCGCGGAACGGAAAGCCCGATGAATGGACGGGACGCGAGGTTGAGGGAGAGGAGAAGGCGGAGATAGTTGTGTCGGCGAGGGCGTCAGACATAAGGGAGCTGCACCATCCGTCTGCTGTGCAGGCCCTCCTGCACCTCGCGCAGAGGGGCCTCGTTACTGTCACCCCCCTCGGCATTGATGCACCCCGTGGAGTTACCCACGCGCAACGCATCACCCGGCCACTTGAGGAGCGCGCCGCTGGCTCTGTGCGCATTCTGCTGGGCATCCCCAGCAGGCTCGTCCCGGAGGTGCCGGTGGAGCAGATGTGCTTGCCTCTGCTCGCCCCTCTGCTGACTGAGTGGCGGAAATTCAGCCACACGCATCACATACGCGCGCTCATGAGCAGCCTTGCGCCAGATGCCGCGCTGCACCCCGGGCCTCATGGATGTGCAACTGCTTTGCCGTGCTCCTGCCATGCTGATGGAGCATTGTACGGCAACGTGGATGGCAGCATGGATGACGGATTGCCACGTGGCAGTGGCTTCGATTTCGACCAACTGTACCGAGCTGTGCGGCCCAGCAGGTGGGTGATGGCATTGCAGGTGAGTGGTAAGGTGGCTTGGTTGCGGATGCATCTAACAGGGTTCCATACTCTGCAGGGTGACCTCGTTGACTTATGCTCTTCTCGTCCTTGCCTTCCGTTACTTTCTCGTGTCTCAAATACTGATACGCAACCGACGTGTATGCAGTAATCCATTCACGATAGCAACTAGTATTTTGCGACCAGTCACGTGACCTCCACGCCTCTCACTTCCACTGCTCTGCACCATTCGTTCAACCATTCTCCAAGTGCAACCCCAATGCCGCTGGTTTCTTGTCACATGCATGTTCGTAGCATTGTGCTCTCAACAGCTATTGCATCCATCCATCCCTGTGCTGCTGTGCACCCCCCTCGTGCTGCTTGCAGGCACCTTCCGTCCCTTGACTTGAGTCCACCCAACCTGCTACCTCCTCTGAGGCCGTACCAGAGCAGAGCTGTGGCATGGATGGTGCAGCGAGAGCGGGGCGAGCAGGGGGGATGCGGGGATGGTAGGCAGTGCGAATGGTGGACGGAAGTGCAGCATCCCTTGTGGCGGCAAGTGGCAGCAGAGAAAAGCCATCCTGACGTCACTCTGCACTACAATCCTATCCAGTGGGTATCTGTCCATCAAGTGTATTCATACTCCCCCTGCACAGCCCCGCACATCACCTGTCGCTTTCCCCCCTCTTTTCACACCACAATTGTTGCTATTCCCCCTCTTTCCGTGCACCTGTTGCTATTCCCCCTCTTCCCTCCCCGGCCCTGTTGCTATTCCCCCTCTTCCCCCGCACCTGTTGCTATTCCCCCTCTTTCCGCGCACCCGTTGCTATTCCCCCTCTCCCCCCGCACCTGTTGCTATTCCCCCTCTTCCCCCGCACCTGTTTCCATTCTCCCTCTTTCCGCGCACCTGTTGCTATTCCCCCTCATTCCGCGCACCTGTTGCTATTCCCCCTCTCCACGCCATTGCCACTCGAGAGGGACCTGCGTTTTTCCTTTGGCGGCCCTTTCATGGCTCTGCTGACTTCTCATCTGCCTCCTCACCGTCATCCCCTTTCTTGTTCTCATGCCCAACCCTCCCCGCATTATGCTCTATCCCTGCCCATCCTCTTCCTCACTCCCTCCCTCCCACCTCTTTGCCATGTGTCATCCAGAGGTACCTTTGTGCGCCTCCCTCGCTCCAGCTGCTGTTCTCATCCAGTCAGCAATCACAGGGAAATGCGCGCAGATTCGGCATGCACAGGTTCAAAGCATATTGGTTCAGCGCACGCAGGTTTGGCGCATACAGGTTCGGCGAGCTCAAGCTTGGTCGGTGCAGGGTCAGTGAGTGGAGTGTGCGGGTGGGTGGGTGCGGTGGCAGGGGCAGTGAGGGGCGGCATTCTGGCAGAGGAGATGGGGCTGGGTAAGACCGTTGAGGTGCTTGCCTGCATCCTCGCCCACCGCTGGGAAGGCAGTGGGAAGGGAGAGACGGAGGCAGGGGTCATTGGGAAGAGGACTAAAGGCGCGGAAAAAGGACAGTCTGACCAGTGCAGTGAGAGGGGGAAGAAAGGCGAGAAGGGAGAGGATGGCGAGAAGGGGGGCGAGGGGAGCAGGAAGAAGAGGAAAGGGACGATGAGGATGGCAGCACGAAAAAGCAAGGGGCGCGGCGGTGGTGTTGAGGTGGTGAAGGGCGAGCAAGGAGAGGCCATGAAGGGCGGGGAGGAGGGGGAGGAGGGGGAGGAGGGGCGAGTGGTGACGCCGTGTGGGAGCACGCTCATCGTGTGTCCGGCGGCCATTCTTCCTCAGTGGCGAGACGAGGTCTTGCGGTATGTGAAGGGCAAGCCCTGGGCATGGGGCACCTTCTTTGTTATGCTGCTGCCTTTGCTACCTTAATATCGCTTCGGCCAACCCCTCTTAGTGTCTTTCCTTATATTTTCTTTCAAACCTTCCGTATCGTTCAGTATGAATGGCAGGTACAGCAAGCACAGTTGGCTGTGTGAGGATGGTGAGGGACAGGCCAGGCCAGGCTACTTGGGAGACTACGCTTTGCACGCGTTCAGTTCCTTGTCTCTCGCACCGCCATATCACAATGCCGTGCATCGTCTGCCTCTCCACTCGCTCCTCCCTCCACCATGCACCCCATCCCCTTGCTCATCTCCCGCCAACCACACCCGTGCAGGCACAGTGAGTGCGCTGGTGTATCAGGGCGTCAACAGCCCTGCCCTGCGCCTCGCCTTCCGCCCCTCCCCAGCCTCGCCTCTCACCTTCCCCCCTGACTCACCTCTCAGCATTTCCTCGCCTGCCTCCTCGGGTGATGAGGGGACAGACAGGGCCTTTCGTGGAAGGGGGGGTGGTAAGGTGGGAGACGGGCGTGAGGGAGGGCGAGGAGGGGGTGGAAAGGGGAAGAGGCAGGTGGATTGGGGGCGAAGGGAGAGGCTAGATGTGGAGTGCAGCGAGGTGTGGGAGGAGGTGGATGAAGTCACGCCTCTTGATCTCGCAGCTGCTGACATCGTGCTGGTGTCATACGAAACACTTAGTGGCGACATCTGGCACGATGGGCCCACAAGAGTGTTGCGGCATAAGAAGAGGTGAGGGGGAATGCATGGGGAGACGGAACAAGGTAGTAGCACAGAGAGCTCTGGATGCTGGGTGTGTGTAAGGGTGCCTTGATTCTAAGCTTGTAGGTGACAGGCAAGGCCAACAGCAAAACCAAGAGAGGAAGAGGTTGGCGCTACTGCCATGTCAGCCTACTGCCCTTTCCATACCTGCTTTGTGTGTCGGCAAGTTTTTTTTTTGTTCCCAGCTACCAGAAGCGCCCTATGCACCTGACTCGCTGCTCTGGTACCAAAATGCACATTTCATTGTCGCACCTTGCTACTCTGTCCCAGGTACGAGACCCGCCCCACACCCCTCACACGCCTGCACTGGTGGCGGGTGTGTCTGGACGAGGCGCAGCTGGTGGAGGGCGGAACCTCCAGAGCAGCAGTCATGGCGGCCCGCCTGTCTGCGCAGCACCGGTGGTGCGTGTCGGGCACTCCCATTCAGAAGGGCCTGCCGGACCTGCAGAGCTTGCTTCGGTTCCTCCGAGCCTCGCCGTTTGACCTGCCACAGTGGTGGTGCGATTTTTTCGAGAAACCTATTGAGGTGAGCCTGCTGGGGGCCGGGACTTGGGCTGAGAAATTGGTGTGGGTCTCATGGGTACTGTGAGTGTGGTGACACTAGTCATTGGTCATGATGCAATGCAACTGGCACTTGATCGATATGGCCTCAGTCCTATATCACTCTCGTTTTGGCATTTGGTCAATGTGGCTTCAGTCCTGCACCACTCTCACTGTGTCATCTGCACAGCTACTGGCTCGCTCACGGCTGTGCTTGTGATGTTCTGGACTTCTCGCTTCGACTTTGCTCTGATCTATTACAGTTGGCCCAAGGTATCCATCTCATCTGTTTGGTGTGCTGCCTCTGTTTCCTCCTCCCTGCCTGATGCCCACTCAAACTCTTGTATGCATCGAATCTCTCTCCTTCCTTTCCCCACCCCGCAACTGCCCTCACCTAACGCCATGGCAGCATGGATGCGTGCCAGCGTGGCACTCCCTCCTGGCCCTCATGTCGCAGCTGATGTGGCGCCATAACAAGGCTGACGTGGCGGACGAGCTGGCGCTGCCACCTCAGCGGCAGCTGCTGACAGTGCTGCGGTTCAGCGCCATCGAGGCGCACTTCTACCGCCAGCAGCACGCCAAGTGCGCCCAGCGCGCGAAACACGTCCTCAGATTAGGGGAGCGAGGGGGAGGGAGGGCAGGACCGGGCAGAGGCGGAGCTGGGGATGGGGATGGAGAGGAGGAGGTTCAAGGAGGGGAGCGGCAGCAGCAGCAGTCGCTGCGGTCGCTGCTGCCGTCGAGTGCGTGCCGTGCCGACCTCAACAGTTTCCTGGCGTCGCTGCTGCTGCTGCGCCAGGCCTGCTGCCACCCCCAGGTTGGCTCGGGCGGGCTACGGCGTTTAAACTCCGAGCGACCCATGCACATGGATGAAGTGCGGCAGGTGTGTCCCATGCACATGGATGAAGTGCGGCAGGTGTGTCCCATGCACATGGATGAAGTGCGGCAGGTGTGTCCCATGCACATGGATGAAGTGCGGCAGGTGTGTCCCATGCACATGAATGAAGTGCGGCAGGTGTGTCCCATGCACATGGATGAAGTGCGGCAGGTGTGTCCCATGCACATGGATGAAGTGCGGCAGGTGTGTCCCATGCACATGGATGAAGTGCGGCAGGTGTGTCCCATGCACATGGATGAAGTGCGGCAGGTGTGTCCCATGCACATGGATGAAGTGCGGCAGGTGTGTCCCATGCACATGGATGAAGTGCGGCAGGTGTGTCCCATGCACATGGATGAAGTGCGGCAGGTGTGTCCCATGCACATGGATGAAGTGCGGCAGGTGTGTCCCATGCACATGGATGAAGTGCGGCAGGTGTGTCCCATGCACATGGATGAAGTGCGGCAGGTGTGTCCCATGCACATGGATGAAGTGCGGCAGGTGTGTCCCATGCACATGGATGAAGTGCGGCAGGTGTGTCCCATGCACATGGATGAAGTGCGGCAGGTGTGTCCCATGCACATGGATGAAGTGCGGCAGGTGTGTCCCATGCACATGGATGAAGTGCGGCAGGTGTGTCCCATGCACATGGATGAAGTGCGGCAGGTGTGTCCCATGCACATGGATGAAGTGCGGCAGGTGTGTCCCATGCACATGGATGAAGTGCGGCAGGTGTGTCCCATGCACATGGATGAAGTGCGGCAGGTGTGTCCCATGCACATGGATGAAGTGCGGCAGGTGTGTCCCATGCACATGGATGAAGTGCGGCAGGTGTGTCCCATGCACATGGATGAAGTGCGGCAGGTGTGTCCCATGCACATGGATGAAGTGCGGCAGGTGTGTCCCATGCACATGGATGAAGTGCGGCAGGTGTGTCCCATGCACATGGATGAAGTGCGGCAGGTGTGTCCCATGCACATGGATGAAGTGCGGCAGGTGTGTCCCATGCACATGGATGAAGTGCGGCAGGTGTGTCCCATGCACATGGAAGAAGTGCGGCAGGTGTGTCCCATGCACATGGATGAAGTGCGGCAGGTGTGTCCCATGCACATGGATGAAGTGCGGCAGGTGTGTCCCATGCACATGGATGAAGTGCGGCAGGTGTGTCCCATGCACATGGATGAAGTGCGGCAGGTGTGTCCCATGCACATGGATGAAGTGCGGCAGGTGTGTCCCATGCACATGGATGAAGTGCGGCAGGTGTGTCCCATGCACATGGATGAAGTGCGGCAGGTGTGTCCCATGCACATGGATGAAGTGCGGCAGGTGTGTCCCATGCACATGGATGAAGTGCGGCAGGTGTGTCCCATGCACATGGATGAAGTGCGGCAGGTGTGTCCCATGCACATGGATGAAGTGCGGCAGGTGTGTCCCATGCACATGGATGAGGTTCGGCAGGTGTGTGTGTGGGAGGAGGGCATGTGAGCGCGCTGCTGTTGGAATGGATATGGGTGAAGTGCTGCAAGGGACGGAGAGAGAAGAAGTGAGAAGCAGGCATGGGGATTGTCAAGCAAGTTGGGTGAGGCTGCGAGGTTTGTGAGCCTTTTAGAATGGTGAGGGAGTTTGAGGCATGTGATGCGAATCGGAGAAATGGATCGCTGGCTGATCCGGTCCAGTCCCTTGTGCTTCCTTTGGTGTCCCACCCATTATCCATGAACCTCCTCACAGCAACTTTACCAGTTCTCATCCTTATTTGAAGACTGACCCTTAATATGGCGACAATGTTCTTTGTGATTTGCACCAAATCTTGTTCCTTGGCTTCCCTTTCAAATGCATGGTGTGACACATCACTGGCATGCCCTCAGGTGCTGTTGGAGAAGGCACGTGTGGAGGCGGAGGAATCCCAGCGTCTCCTCATCTCCGCCCTCAACGGCCTCGCTGCTCTCGCCGCCATCCACGCTCCCACCCTCCCCCTCCTCTCCTCCTCCTCGCCCCCCTCCGCTGCTTCTGCCCACCACTCTTTTGAGAACATCGCCCAGTGGGGGCCCGGGGCAGAGCAGGCCGTGGGGCTTCACCGCGATGCTTTGCGAGTCTTGGATGAAAATGAGGATGGGGCACAGCAAGTGAATGGCGATGGGGATCGGAATGAAGACGGGCATGATGGCGACGCAGGTGGAGCGAGTGGGTCTCTCTCTGCGCCTCACTGCGCTCGCCAGCGCAACGCCCTCCTGCAGCGCCTGCACGTGCTGCACAACCTGCACTCGCTGCTCGCCCTGCTGCACCACGCCAAGGGAGGAGGCCAGGGGCACGGTGGTGGAGCGCGGAGCAAGAAGGGGTGCAGTTCGGTGGAGTTAGGTGGCAATGGAGCAGGTGTGGTTGTCGCACGGACAGCGAGGGAGGAGAGGCTGGAAGGGGAGATGGAGGAGGTGATGCGGAGGTATGTGGCTCCTTACAGGGCGCGCGCTGCTGCTGCCAAGAAGGCCTTCGAGGATGTGCGCTCACAGGCGAGTCATGTGGGGGAGTGTGTGTGGTGGTGTGACCGTGGGAGTATGTGGGTACTTGTGAGAGACTGTGGGCACATGTGAGAGAGTATGTGGGTCTGTGCTGGTCATATAGGTTGTCAATACGCCCATGCCAATTGGGTCGTTGCTCTCATCTCTATCATTGCAGCTCATGATGTCACTCGCATGCATGTCTGTAATTCAAACCCTCAACCCTCATGCCACTCGCATCTCTCTGCATGTGCATGTCACAGGCACATGTCTACATCCCGCACGTGCAGGTGGAAGCCCATGGGGCATCAGCTCTCCTCTCCACCTCCTCCTCGCGTTCATGGCTCGCTCTCCTCGCAGCACTGCGGTCTTCTGTGCCCCCAGTGCGCACACACAGCATCATCTCTCACTTGCAGCGCACGCTACTGGATGATGATAACTGCAGCAGGCTAGAGACGATGAACATGGCCAGCCTTGCTCTCAGGTGCGCCGTGCTCTCAGGTGCGCCGTAAGATTGTTTGTCAGGGAACGGCTCGACTGTGGTGCTGGAAGCGTGCTTGCCTTGCACACTACTCTTTCCTACACCTCCCTCAATAGTCCTCACTGCACCCCATGATCCGCCCTCTCCTCCCATCCCCTTGTCAGCTTCCCCACGCTGCACGGCCTGCTGGTTGCGCTGGGAGAGGAAGTGGCCAGGCTGATGGGAAGCAGGCAGGAAGTGCTGCAGCGAGTGGTGGACGCGGGCGGTAGGGTGGACGTTGAGGGCGTGGGGGGCAGTCTGGTGGCGCAGGCAGGCTCGTGTGCTCGCTGCAGTGCGGGGCAGGAGGAGAAGGGCGGGGCTGAGGATTATGAGGCTGAGGAGGGCGCGACTGAGGAGGGCGGGGATGAGGATGGAGGGGCTGAGGGTGTTTTGGCGAGTGGAGTGGTTGGTGCGAGGGGAGCAGATGGGGGGAAAGGCAGTGAGCTCTGCATGCTTTGCCAGGCGCAGGACGTGTTTGAGGTGAGATGGATGGGTGTGCAATCAGACGGGCACCAGGATACAGGTGGGGGCGCAGGGAGGCGGGAGGTCGGAGCTCGCCTCATCCTTGTAGGCGTTTCTTTCTTTCACGACAGCCTCTCTCAAGCCCATTTCGCTGCTTCCTCTTATGGATCTGAAGTTCCCCATGCCATGCTTCATTGAGAATTCTCAAAAACTGCTTCCTCTGATGGATCTGAAGTCCTCCATGCTTAAATTCAACCCTTGTCATGCGGTTCTGCTCTGCTTCCCTGCTACTCTTTTGCAACCTTTGCTCCCCAACTCCTACTGGGCTTCTCCCTAGTACTACACTTTCAAAGCCATACATATGTCTCCGATTTTCCACCATTCCATCTTCCCATGCCGATTCACCATCCCTGCATAACCACGACTCCACTCCACTCTCTCCCTGCCATCCCACCACCCCATCCCACCCTGCCAGCGTTACGGCCGTCGTCTTATCCAGCTACAACTCTCATCAGCCCCTCCATCCCTCTCCTCCTCCTCCCATCTCACTCAACCTCTCCACCCTACCTTCACGAGCTCTCCTGCTCCCTCTACATCTCGCGGCCCCATTTCCATCTCCCAATCGGCACTGGAAGTGCGCAATACCCCACAGGTTCCAGCCACAGCAGCAGGGCGGCAGGACGCGAAGGGGAGGGGCACCAGGGTCAGCAGGAGAGGGGGAAAGGGAGGTGCAGGGGAGGAAGAAGAGGGAGGGGGTTCGGTGGAGTGGAAACCAGCAGACACTGCAAGGTGTTTGGCTATTCTGCCTTGGGTGCTTGCATCATTGCCTGATGGCACCATTGGAGACAAGGACCGGGGCGTTCTGGGAGCTGCAGCATCCCGCACTTTGGAAGCTTTGAAGGTCAGTCGAAAATGTGCCCAACTATTCCATGTTATCCCTTTCTAAGATTCCGATGCTGTTTGTCCGTTCCGTTTGTGACACCAAGGCAACATGGCATGAGCTCCGGGCTGGTCCAGCCCATGGCCCATGGCCCATGGCCTTCCGTTTATGTTGAGGCGGCCCAGTCTGTGCTAGTGCAGTATCTTCTTTTCTGAGGGTTTGCCCGCCAAGCCCAGGCCGACCAGGTCGCGAGCGAACTGGTCACTGAAGGTGGGCGCGTGCTTGGTCGGGGTGAAACACGGCCCTGGTCGAGTGTGGAGATTAGAGGTTGATAGGGAATGTAGCAAACGGGTGATGACAGAGCGCTTGGAGAATAGATCACATACGTCCATTCCCTGCACCCCTAATATTCCACTCTCCAGACCTCTATTACCATTCATTCTCTGACCTCTTCCCTTCACCACACCCTCTCTCGTCTTCCCATCTCTACACCCCATGTCTTCGTTTATTCATTCACAACAGCTGCTAACATCCTCCCGTCTCTACATCCCCTACCATCGCCCATTATGTACAACCCCTATCATCCCCAGATCTCCACTCCTCTTATCATCGTCCATTCCTCACAATCCCTATCATCGTCCATTCTGTACACGCCCTATCATAATCCGCTTTCTATACCCCTGAAAATCATCAGTATTTTCTGCCTTCATCGCCCATATGTGCTCTTGTTCTCCCTCTACCGCCCTTTGCTATCACCCATCCTCTCACATCCGCCAGGCAATGCAGAATGAGTTCCGGTTGGCCCGAGCTTGGGCCAAGGCCCAGCGGGCTGTGCTGCGCGCATTGCACAGAGTGCAAGTAGCCGCCAAGCGCGCCTGCCCCTTGCGCCAAGTGGACGAATCACGTGCTGCCAGCTCACCAATGGACATGGCACGTACGCGGCGCACTAAGGAGAGGCTGGCAGCGAAGGCTCAGCTTGAGGATGCCCAGGGAAGGCTGAGGTTCCTGCGGTTGCTGTCGGAAGAGAGGAAGGCGGGGAAGGGGAAGCATGTGGCTGATGGGGTTGAGGAAGGGGAGGAAGTGGCAGGGAGTGGGGAGAAGGGGATGGGAGAAGGGGAAGAAGAGGAGATCTGTGTGGTGTGCAGGGAGCCGTTTACGAACAAGTTCTCAGTCTTCCCATGCTTCCATGTGCTGTGCTGTGACTGTGAGTGACCTGCAGCATGTAAGGCAATGCTTTTTCATTTTGTTCAAGTCAAATAGTCCTTGTATGTTTGTGCTCTGTTCCAATAGACGTTTTTCTCCACGTGTCTGTTTCTTACAAGTTGGCATGCGTGTTGGAATCGTTGCGATGAAGTATTTGTGAGCAATTCGTGAAACCCTTACTGCCTCAGCCTTGGTTGCCATGTCAACTCTTGTCATCTCACGGTGCCATCTCTCACCATGTCATCTCGCTGTATCATCCCACCATGTCATCTCGCTGTATCATCCCACCATGTCATCTCACTGTGTCATCCCACCGTGTCATCTATCATCACCATCTCTCACCATGTCACTGTATCATCTGTCACAATGCCATCCCACTGTGTCACCTCTGCAGGCACACAGCTGCTGGTGATAAGGGCCTCTTCAGTGCCGTCTGCAACCAGCACCATCACGGGCAGTGCTGCTGGCAGCAGCAGGGAGCCGCGAGTCCAGTGCCCCATGTGCCGCAGGGAGGCAGTAGCATCGGAGATACGAGACGTGGACAACACCACCCGCAGCAATCGCACAGCCTTTTTCAAGTCCCCTGCTGCTAGTGCTGCTGCTGCTGCTGCTGCTGCTAGTTCTGCTGCTGCTGCTGCTAGTTCTGCTGCTGCTGGTGCGGATGCGAATCCGTGGCTGGATAAGGGTGCTGCAGGGAGGGAGGGAGAGGAGGAGATGGTGTCGGATAAGGTGCAGATGCGCGAGAAAGAGATGAGTCTCTGCACGGACTATGGAACAAAGGTATGCCCTTATGTCAAACCCTGTGAAAGCTTCTCATATGTATCTCTTGTTTTCGTCCGTCCTGTCATCTTTCTTTCCATTCCAATTATCCCCACAAAATCTCGCGTTCATCCCTGCAGCTGGATGCAGTGACGCGCCGAGTGTTAAATATCCTGTGCTCGGACCCATCGGCCAGAGTCATAGTGTTGAGCGCGTGGAGGGACATGCTAGTCCTCATCGCCCATTGCCTGCATGCCAATGGCGTCCCCACTGCCTCCGCCTTTAAACCGCGGTAGGTTTTCATTGTCCACCTCTCGCCCATACTCTCAGCCTTTCCTACCACACCCTTTGCTCCCTCTATCTTCATCTCAGTCCCATTCTTTCCATAGCACACACTTGCATCTGATTGCTCCCTTGAAGATTCCTCCTGTACCGCGTTAACTGTTCCACCAGTTCCTTGAGCCATTCCTTTCAACCCATGGAATTTCAACGCTTCTTAATTGCCCATCAACACTTCTCCTCGTCTTCCTCTCTCGTCTTCTGATTCAAACATGAAATTCACCCCTCGGCATTTGTGCCTCCTCGTGCCTCTCCCACCAGGGAGGTGCCTTCTGCATTGGAGTGCTTCACATCATCCATTCGCCCACCAGCCATTTCCGCTAGTGGCAGTGGAGCAGGGGGTAGTGCAAGGTGTCGTGTGCTGCTGCTGGTTGTGGCGGTGGGGGGGAACGGGCTGAACGTGGTGGAGGCACAGCACGTGGTGTTTGTGGAGCCGGGGCTCAATGCGGCCGCCGAGGCGCAGGCTGCCAACCGCGTGCACCGCATCGGCCAGACCCGCCAGACCTTTGTGCACCGCTTCATTGTAAGAGGGTGCAGACCCGCCCCACCTTCCTGCACCGCTTCATTGTAAGCCGCCCTGATTGCTGATAGCCATCCAGTGAACTGCACGCAGCCAGTGAGTTTATGTTTACAACATATGGTCCTCTGTAAGCTGTTGGATTTTCATTTTCAGGATGTGTTCATTTTCAATGCGTGCAGGTGCAGGACACTGTGGAAGAATCCATCCATGCCCTTAACCGCTCCAAGACTTCTGCATCCCACCTCTCCACCTCGCGTGCTGCCAGGAAGGCATCCGCATACGATCACAACTCACTCACTTTGGAGGATGTCAGCACTTTATTCTCTCGAGGCTGATCCCCTGCAGCAGCCAGGGAGGCGGGAGGAAATGTGATGCCTGAGGCCGGAAGACTTTGGGAGCTTACGATTGAATAACTCCAATGGATTAATGTGAACAAGTCTGGTGGTCCTTAGTAAGATGCTCTCATACATGACGAACCGCACACAAGATGAAAGAAATGTACCATTAATCATGTTGAATATCAGATAAACCAATCAGATCGAAGTGCCATCTTTCAAAATTTTATCGAACATGTACACAATTTTATGCACTCTCAATACCATGAAAGAGTAATGAGAAGACAAGTTTCATCTTCGTTGAAATCAGCAGACGATTTTTGGTCTCGTTATGCGCGGGTTAGGCGTAAGTGCGTGTGGCGATGACGACGTTCGGCTACTACTACTGGCAATGACTACGTGTTTTCGTAAGGCGTCTAGACGTAAATTTAGGCGTCTAGACGCTATTGAAGACGTCCAGACAAGGATTATTGTATTTTCTCTATGCGTCTAGTAGTCGTTTATACAGGCTTCCATACGTTACTTGAGGCTTCGAAGACGTCACTTGAAACATTCAGACGCCTTTACCAGGGTCTCAGAAAGGCTGGGATGGGCAAGAGGAACAAAGGGCGCGGCGGACAGCGGAACCAGCAGCCCGCTCAGCACCGCCAGGTGCTGCCGCAGCCGCAGTGTCAGCAGCAGGCGCAGCAAGGGGAGGCGGACGGAAAGGCGGAGGATGGGAAGATGGAGGATTCCGCGAGCTGCGCTGCGCAGAACGCGTCGCAGCAGCAAGGCTGCGGTGAAGATGGGGTTGTGGCGGCCGTGCCAGTGCCCGTTGACGCCAACCCGCCTAGCAACGTGCCCGTGGCAGGTAGTGTTGCGGCCGAGTGACGCTGGGGCCTTATAACGCGGATAGGCTTGGCGCCCTACGCATGTCATGGGTTGCAGACTGGCTTCACTGTTTCAATTCCAGGCAACCATGGTGTCTCTTGATGGAGACTTGTGAACATATGCAGTATCGCATTGACATCCTTGCATCCTCGGGTTGCTGTCGATTACTCTGTCACAACCGTACCACTCCCGTTCGTTCCTTCCGCCATCACCTGCCAACACCACGCGTCCCTGCATGCACATGACATGTCACCACACAGCAGCTCTCCGGGGGTGCAACGAGGAGGGCATGGGGGGTGAAGACGCGGTGGCGGGGGGCAGTGGTGGTGAGGGAGTGATGGAGGGCGTGGCGTGGCAGTGGCGGCAGCTGCAGGCCAGCATGGCGCAGCAGATCGAGTAAGTGCCGTTGCTGGCTAGTGTGGTGTGGCGTGACGCGGTGAGTTGTGAGTCGACTGAAAAGTCACCTCGCAGCAGATTGAGTAAGCGCCGTGGCTGGTGTGGTGTGGCTTGGCATAGCATGAGCCTCGTCGCCATGCATGGAGCCCCTCAAACACGTTTTGACTTCAAGGTGATATGGTGGTTCATGCACAAATTCGCTCCATGGGGCCTGGTGTGCATTAACCATCATCTGATTTGTTGGAAATATGACCTTCTTAGCGCACCTTTATTTTATCTACGGCTCATGCAGGCTGCATATGTGTGTGTGTGTGCGTGTGTGTGCGTGCGCGTGCGCGTGTATGTGTGTGTGGTCCCCCCTGTCCTTTACCCCGTTCTCCGCCCTGCTCGCAGCACCATGGCGGCACAGCAAGCAGCGGTGGCAGCCAGAGAGGCAGCCGTGGGGGAGAGGGAGGAAGGGGTGACGCAGAGGGAGGAGCGAGTGAGGGCGAGGGAGGAAAGGGTGAAGGAGAGGGAGGAGAAAGTGAGGGTGCGGGAGGAGAAGGTGAGGGCGCAAGAGGTGGAGTGGCAGAAGCAGAGAGGCGCGGCTGCTGTGGCTGCCACGACTTCTGGTGGCGGAAAAGTGGCTTCACAGGCGAAGGTGAGCAAGAGACAGAGCGTGAGAAAAGCACGGTCCAATATTGAGAAGATATGGGCGAGCAGGGCATGTTGCAGGAGGGAGCAAAGTTCCCAAAACACCTGTGTTTCTTTTTTCACAAACTGTCGCCGTCTTGCTGTCCCTGACCTCTTCTGTCGTTTTGTCAACTTGCGAAAGGCTTGCATGCACGGTGATAGTTTTGCTCTCCTTTCCCTCCATTTCCCTCCCTCCCGTCCCTTCCCCTCCCCTTCCATGCCTTCCCCGTCCCTCCGTACCATCCCAGATGGCTGATCTGTGCTGCAGGGAGAAGCAGCTACAGGCAAACCAGGTGAGGGAAGTGCAGAGGAAGGGTAAGGCTGGTGAGCAATGCGAGCTTGGTTGATGGGGCAAGAGGCCAGTTGCGGGGGCATTGCAAGACAAGAGGCACACGTGCCTATCGTTGAGAGTAAGCACTTGCAATTGGAAGTGCTTTCCTTGATCAACCATGCACACTTCCCTTGAGTCGGTAGAAGCTTCGACTGCCTACAGAGTTCCTGGCCCAATCTATAACTCCTTCACCTGCAGCAACTTGTCGATTCATAAGTTGCTGCTAACATTTCCGTTACAAGGATGAACCTTAATCGACTCACATTGGTTTGCCATACCAAACGAATTCCTGTATCTATCCCCCACGTTTTTCCACATCATCATACCAAACGAGCTTCTCCTATATGTGTCCCATCCACAAGTTGACGCATTCAACCCCCTTGCACCCATCTTGCTCATCTTGCTCAACCTCCCTGTGAAACTGGAACCACCCAGGCAGCGGTGGCGGCGCAGCAGAGGCAGGTGTTTGAGGTGGAGCGGGAGCTGGCGGGGCGGGAGAGGGCTCTGCAGCAGGCCTGGGCGCAGCACCGCCTGCACCTGCAGGCCCTTGGGTGGACTGCGGCACAAGGGGGCGGGGCGCAGGGGCAGGCGCAGGGGCAGGGGCAGGGGCAGGGGCAGGGGCAGGGGCAGGGGCAGGGGCAGGGGCAGGGGCAGGGGCAGGGGCAGGGGCAGGGGCAGGGGCAGGGGCAGGGGCAGGGGCAGGGGCAGGGGCAGGGGCAGGGGCAGGGGCAAGGGCAGGGGCAGGGGCAAGGGCAGGGGCAGGGGCAAGGGCATGGGCAGGGGCAGGGGCAGGGGCAGGGGGGACAGGGATTGCAACAAGAGAAGGAACAAGGGGGCGCGGCAGTAGCGGTTGTAGGTGCGCCTGTGGCTTCTGGCTCGACTGGAAGGAAAGGGGAAGGGGGAGGAGGTGATGGGGCATCGGATGTGGGAAGGCAGGGAAGCAAGAGGGGAGGCAGTGGAGAGAAGAGGAGTGTGGGTGAAGGTGGTGGTGGTGATGTAAGCTTAGCTGATGCTGACCGTGCTGTTGGTGCTGGTGAAACTGGTGCTGCTGCTGGTGCTATTGGTGCCGCTGGTCCTACTGGTGCTGAAGGTGGTGCTGGTGCTGCTGGCTTGGAGGGAGGCGGAGAGAGGGGGGCAAGCGCAGTGATGGTGGGGTCAAGAGCAGTGCTGGTGGGGGCAAGAGAGGGGGATTTGGGAGGGGAGGGGGAGAAAGTGGAGGAGAGGAGAGGGTTTGCAGGGAAAGGGGAGGAGCAGGTGGGAGAAAAAGGGTCGGGAATGGCCAGAGAAGCTGCTGCAGGTGGTGCTGCAGAGGAAGGGGACGAGGAGCAGAGGAAGGTTGGGGAGGTTGACGTGGAGTCAAACGCAGGAGGAGGGAGGGATGCAGTTGGGGATGGCAAGGAAGGTGTGGGAGGCGTCAGGGGTGCCGCAGAGGGAGGAGGGGTCGATGGGGGAGAGACGGAAGAAGAAATGAAGGAGGAGATGAGGCTGGGAGGTGAGGGTAGAGCTGTGACGGGGGGTGAAGCTGGGAGATGGGGAGAGGAAGTATCGAACAGGGTAAAAGAGGAGAGTTGGGTGGACGGGGAGAAGGCCGAATTGAGAGAAAGATTTGAGGAGGGATGGGGTGGGGGAGGGGAAGGTGCATGGGGAAGTGAACAAGAGGAGGAATCAGGAGGTGAGAGAAAGAGATGGAGAGGGGGAGGAGAGGGAGGATGGGGAGAGGATGGGGAGGGGAGATTTGGAGGAGGAAGCGAGGGTAGACGCGGATTGGGAGGTGGGGAAAATCAGTGCGGAAGGGAAGGGAGCGGGGAGCGATGGGGAGGGAGGGATGGTTCGTGTGCAGAGGGGAGGTCAGGATGGCGCATGGGGGAGAGTGGCTTGGCGCCAGGGCGGGGCGAGGGGCAGCAGAATGGGGAACAGCAAAGCGGGGAGCAGCAGAGGGGGGAGCAGCAGGGCGGGGGTGGGTGGGAGGGGGGTGCGGATGCGGGAAGGCCAGGGGAGAATGGGAGGAAGAAGAGGAGGGCCAAGGCGAAGAGGCAGAGGCAGGAGCAGCTGCTCTCGTGTGGGCTCAACTGGGGTCGTGCAGGCGCAAGCGGGCAAGGTGAGGTGTTCACAGGAGGTCATGCTCCTGGCCCTCCTCCTCCTGCTCCTGGTGCTGCTGATAATCTCCCCCTGGCGTTGCCAGCTCCCCTTCCTGCAGCGCCAGTGTTGCCAGGTGGCAGTTCGAGGGACGGCAGAGGAGGAGGGCCCCAGGCAGGGGGAGGGGACGGGAGAGAAGGGGAAGGGGCGAGGTTGGAGTCACGTAGGGAGGGGTTGGGGCAGGAGGGAGGGCGTTTAGCTTGGGGGGAGCAGAGAAGCCCAAAGCAGGAGACGGAGGAGTGGGAAGGGTTGCGAATGGGCGTAGTGAGTGATGGTGATGCTGGCAGGATGCTGCTGAACAGTGGTGCTGCTGCTGATGCTGGAGCCTCTGGACCAGGAGCAGCAGAAGGAGGAGTAAGGGGAGGAGCAGCAACAACGCGAGCAGAAACGAAGGTTGAAGCAGTGGTGACTACAGAAGCAGGTACAGCACAGGCAGCAGCAGTGGCAAGTGCAGACGTGGCAGCAGGTGTGGGGACGGGCGTGCAAGAGTGCAGGGTGGTGGTGAAAACGGAGGCCGTGGGCGGGGATGCAGAGATGCAGGGAGGAGGCTGTGAGGGCTGGATGTGGGATGGGTGTGGTGGAGGTGTGGCGGGAATAAGGCAAGGATTGGGAGGTGCGATGGATGAGGGATTAGGGGGCTATGACGAACAGAAGCAGGATCAGGGGCAGGGGCAGGGGCAGGGGCAGGATCAGGGTCAGGGGCAGGGGCAGGGGCAGGGACAGGGGAAGGGGGCAGCGTGGAAAAGGAAGCAGAAGAGAAAGAGGAAGGCAGCTGCAAAGGCAGCAGCAGCGGAAGCAGGGACGAGTGAGGCCAAGGAAGCAAAGAGGTGAGCACACCAACCCGCAATGTCTGGTGAGGCGTGTGAGCTGTGTGTGTGATGCCCCCTTCTCTGCCTCCGCTCTTCTGCTCTCCGCTCTTCTGCTCTCCGCTCCTCCTCCTCTCTCTCTCCTCTGCAAATTCATAGCTCTACCACTTCTCTCTCCTCTCTTCCGCACTCCCCACTTCTTTTCCCCTTCTGCCTCTCCTCGTGTGCACTTGCAAGTTGCACCTATCGTCTTCCCAGCCAGCCAATCGCAGCCAGCAGCATCAACTCACCTGCTCAACCCAACAACACCATCTCCCCTCTGTTTTCCTCGAAACAGCACCTTCTCCACCTTTTCCCTTTCTCTCCCCGCCCGGCCCATCCTCCCCTGCCCCCCTCTCACCTCCTTTCTCCCTCTCCTCTTGCCGCCCTCTACCCCCACCAATCAGCCACGGCACAGCAGCGGAAGCGCTGGAGTCAGACGCACCGGGGCTGCTGCAAGGCATCCAGCTCTTTGACCGCCTCTTCCTCTCCCCTATCAACCCCCCCCATCCCCCTTCAACCACAACCCCCCTCCCCCCCTTCAAAAATCAGCCACGGCACAGCAGCAGAAGCGCTGGAGTCAGACGGACCGGGGCTGCTGCAGGTGCTGCAGCAGAGGGGGCTGCTGCGCGGCATCCAGCTCTTCGACCTCGCCTTCATGCGCTCAGCAGGAACAGCAGAACCACCAGAAGCAGCAGCAGCAGAAGCAGCACCAACCGGCGGCAGGGAGGAGGAGCCGCACACTGCCCCCCACGCTGCTCTCCTCCCCTCTCAGAGGGCCGAGCCGGGGGACGGGGTCGGTGGGGCTGATGTGAGCTGCGGCAACGGGATGGTGGAGCAGAGGGGGGAGATAGGGGTGGATGGGGTGGATAGGGTGGATGGTGTGGATGGGGTGGATGGCGAGGGGCAGGCAGGGTGTAAGAGGGAGTGGGATGAGGGAGGGGTGGGTGCTGGGCCTGGCGTTTGGACAGAGCTTGAGTGCACGCATTCTGGTGATGCTGTGGCGATGCCTCAAGCAGCAGCAGCAGCAGCAGCAGCAGCAGCAGGAGGAGGATCAGGAGCAGGAGAAGCAGCATCAGCGCCAGTGGCAGTGCCCTCTGACTTCTCCGACCTGCAGAGGATTCTGTCCAGGGTACTCTCTGCTCTCCCAGCCAGCCCCAATTTGTTTTTTCTTACTGTTTGTTTGGTTGTTTGTTTGGTTGTTTGTTTGTTTGTTATTTTGTTATTGTTTGTTTGTTTGTGTGTGTGTGTGTGTGTGTGTGTGTGTGTGTGTGTTTTTTTTCCCTTCGAGAATTTCCTCAGAGTGGCTTCTTGGACCCACCAATAAATATTTCTTAGGCCAGTCTGCTCTCCCTGCTGCACGTGTGGGGGCCGGCTTATATGTGCATCTTTCCTTAGGCGCCTACAATTGCGCATTCCCTCGAGTAGAGTGTGCGGATGCCACTTGTTCCAGCGAGGACACTCTGATGTGATCCAACCCTCTTATCTCTACCGCTCTCTCTCATTCAATTGCTTCACCCACTTTCCGTCTCTACCCTCCAACTTCCGGCCCATATCCCCGCAACCCCTCCACCACCCAAAGCTCAACACACGTGGGAGCGCCTGCCAGGGCAGGTGGCGGGGGTAGGGGGCGGAGCAGGAGCATGGAATCGGCCAGCGCACTGCGTGGAGAACCTCGTTGCTCTCATCACGCAGGTGCGTGTGTGCTACTGCTTGCTCAGGTGTGTGCTGCTGCCTGCCTGCTGTTTGAATCGACTCAAAAAGGAAGGGCGAAGGGTGGAGCAGCAGGGTGGAATCGCCTGGCGTACTGTGTGGAGAACCTCGTTGCCCTCATCACGCAGGTGCGTGCTAGTGCTACTGCCTTGTGAGTCGACTCAGCAGCCAGCAGCAGGAGCATGGATTCGCCCGGCGTACTGTGTGGAGAGAGAACCTCGTTGCGCTCATCACGCAGGTGCGTGCTGCTGGCTGTGCTGTGCTCCTTGGCTTCTGCCTTGGGTTTCACCTTGCAAAGTGCGATACTGGATAGATAGTAGAAGTATCAAGCAGTGTTCCGTCATGCTATTCTTGTCCGTCTCTCCCCTTCCTCCCTCACCCCTCTACCAACCCTCTCCCCGTCCCGTCCTTTTCACCACCCCCTGCCACCCCTATCGATCTCCGCTCAGGCGCATGCGGTGCAGCAGGCAGGGTGGCAGGTGTCGTGGGGCTGGTGTGGTGTGGGGCCAACCGTTTTCTTCCCCCCTTTCCGCCTGCTTCCCCCCACCTTTTTCCGCACCCTATCTCCCCGCAGGCGCACGCGGTGCAGCAGGCAGGGTGGCAGGTGTCGTGGGGCTGGTGTGGGGCCATCCGCTGCTTCCTCTTTGTCTTCCCAGACCACAACAGGTGAGTGGAATGACAAAGCCACAACAGGTGAGTGGAATGACAAAGCCACAACAGGTGATTGGAATGACAAAGCCACAACAGGTGAGTGGAATGACAAAGCCACAACAGGTGAGTGGAATGACAAAGCCACAACAGGTGAGATAACATGACATGTCACACCGCCACGACAGGTAAGGGGTCTCCAGTCCTTCTACTGCATTCTCTGCATTCCTCACATCCAAGCCTATCCAACCTCCCGCCTGCCTTACAACCTGTTTCATCCGACTCAGAAATCATCTGCCTTTGCAACCTCCTCTCCTCCCTGCACCCCAATTCCTGCCCCCACTGGCCCCCCTATACCCCCAACCACACGGCTGCCCAGAAGGATGATATTGGAGGAACCAGAGTATGGCAGAACAACCCACTTCACCAGCCCTCCCAAGCCTGACCATCCTCCCTCCCTGCACATCTCCCCTGCACCTGTTGCCCGGCAGGATGAGATTGGAGGCGCCAGAGTACGTACGGCAGGCAAGGCCATCTACTTGTTTGAGCTGGAGGGGTGGTGACTTCTGAATCGACTCAACAGCCACACCGCTGCACCTACCTTCATACCGCTGCACCCCCCACTGTGCCACTGCACCCCCCACCCACCACACGGCTGCCTGCCAGGATCATACTGGAGGCGCCGGAGTACGGCAAGGCGACCTACTTATTTGATTTGACTTAAACGCGACTCATAATCCACATTGCTGCACACCTCCCACCACACCGCTGCACCTCCCACCACACCGTTACCTGCCAGGATCATATTGGAGGCGCCAGAGTACGGCAAGGCGACCTACTTCTTTGAGCTGGAAGCGGGGGTGGCGGTGCGCTGGCAGCTGCAGCGCCTGCTCGCTGTCTTTGGCGCCGCCTCTGTGTCGCGCATCGACGTCATCACCAACCTGCCTCTCGAGGTCCGCACGCCCGTCAACTTGCTGATCCACTCTTTCTCAGTCGACTGTAAAGTCTACTTTTGACAATCGAGTACTTATTTTTACGAGTTTTCTGTTACTATCCAATGCAGCACTGGTCTCTCAAGGGGTCATTGTTATCCACGTAGGCCACAAACATGCAGAAGCGCAGTGTCAAACATGCCCCTGCCGCACCACCTTCTCCTGCATGCCATCCATTCCAGCCCACCTCGTGTGCCTCCGCAGTCCCATACCTCCCCTTACTCCCCTCTTCCTTTCTGCCACTTCTGCGAATCATCAAAAGTGTCTCTTCCTTTCTTCCCCTCAGGTGGGAGTGGACCTATCAGAGGAGGAGGCGGGGCGGTTGGAGCGGTACGGGTGGGTGCGGGGCACGGGCATCGGCGAGCTGCTCAACTTCTGCCACCGCCTCCGCCACGACTACTCCTTCCCTGGCGTGGGGCAACGGAGCTCGGAGGAGGGGCGAGAGGGTGAGAGAGGGGGAGGCGGGGATGGGGAGGGGAGAGGAGAGGGGAAGGGAGGGAAGAAAAAGGGGTGGAGGAAGCGGGGAGTGCGGTTTGCAGTGGTGGAGAGGGAAGAGGCGTGCCACCCTGTGCTGGCTGCAGCAGAGGAGGCAGAGAGGGAGAGGGAGAGGAGGGAGAGGGAGGAGAGGGAGATGAGAGAGCAGGAGGAGAGGAAAGGAGGGGATGAGGAGGTGGGAGGTAGAGGAGAGTGCGCAGGGGAGAGTGAGGAGCAGGCAGAGCTGGAACGACAGCTCCGTCAATACGAGCAGAGACAGCAGCAGCAACAAAAGTCGGAAGCAGATGGAAATGAAGCTGACAGGAAAGTAGGTGGGTCTGAACCACTGACTCACCACCCTGCCGAGCCTAGATGCCAGCCACCGCAGCACAAGCCTGATTCCGAACCTGCCAGACTCGATTCCGAGCCCGAGCCTGCGTGCAGAGTGGAGGCAGCAGGGTGGGTGCAGAGCATAGAGGAGTGGAAGAGGCGCATTGCCCTGCGGCTGAGGGAGGGGCGGCAGCAGGGCCGGTGCTCCCGCCTGCACCACTACTGCCAGCAGCGTGCCTCACAGCACACTCATGCTCTCAAGAGTGATGGGCATGGGGTGTTGGAGGCGAGCAGAGGGCCTGTTGGGGCCGCTGTGATGCAGTCAACTCAGAAGTTCCCAGAAACCGCTGTAGCAGCTGGAGTCACTCCTATGGCTGCCCCACTGCAGCAGATTGACTGTGATCTTGCTCAACACTCGCCGCAGCATGAGAAGCAGCAGCGGCAACAGCAAGCGCAAAACCCGCAGCAGCAGCAGCTGCAAGCGCAAAATCCGCAGCAGCAGGGTGCAGTGAAAGAGGAGGATTCTGATGGCGACCTTCCCTTGCAGGCCCTTGTGCGGCAGCACCAGCAGAAAAAGACAAGGCGCGAGCAGACGCAGCAGCAAGGGCAGAAGAAGGTTGATGGGAGGCAGGAAGGGAAAGAACAAGAACGTGATGCTGCAGGCAAGAATACCGGAAGCAGGGGTGCATTGGGGAGCACAGGAGGTGCCTGTAAGCACCAAGGACTGCTGTTGCAGAGGCCGAGTGAGAGTGTAGCACTTGGTGCTACAGTGACCCGTGCAGTTGGTGCTACGGCTGCAGCAATAGGTGGTGTGGTGCACGTGATAGGGAGTTCAGTTCACAGCGTGACAGGCAGTGCTGCAGGTGCAGACAGCAAAAGCAATGTGTTGTGCCAGAGAACGGAAGAGGCTGGAGACAAAGAGGGCGTTGACGGCGCCCATGATGAGGCACAGGGGCTGCTTATAGCGGGAATGGAGGCTTGGGAAGGGGTGGATGCAAGGGGTCCTCTGGACGAGTGGGTGGAGGAGGAGGAGGAGGAGGGAGTGATGGGTGGAGAGGTGGAAATGGCAGGTGAAGGAGAAATGGGAGAGGGCGGTGGGGAGATGGAGGGGCTGGCGATGCAGGCTGGGATGTGCATGGCAGCAAATGTCGTGGTTTGAGAAAAGAGAAGGGGGGTGGGGACGTGGGGGTGTTTGGCCTGTTTGGCAAGGAGTTGGTCAGCCAGGTACAGACCTCTGCTTATCTTGCCACAGTCTTCTCCCTTGATGTACCAGTACTGGGACTATGGTACTGTGTGTAGGTTACTATTCAGCATCAATCACAACTGTCTGGCTGTTGAAGTGGAAAGGTTTTTGTTTTTGTCAAATAGTTCAAAACAAACCACGCAGCTGTAGGTGCTCCTACAAAGGCGAGCGGATTGATCAATTATTACTATCATCCTACCGTAAGAGCATGCATCCTCATGCCAGTCCTCTGCATCGACACGGCTAGCCGGCTGAGCAATTATTCGCATTTATTTGGAAGAGCACGAGCTCTCATGCGACACACCATCTAGAAGTTGGAGCTGCATTCATTCGTTGGAAGCACTCTCTGTCTCCCGTCGCAGCACTCCTACGCCGTTTAGAAGTTGGAGCTGCTCTCGTACGTCTTTCCGGCGCTCCACTTGCTCGGAATCACGTCTTGCAGCACCACCTGCTGCTGGGTGACCGCCGCCGTCACGCGCACGCTCACCTTGCGCCCCGCGCCCACGACTTCCTTGGCGGAGGGCAGCTCCCACCGCGCGCCCCACCCGCCCCTCGTCATGCCCGTCCACTTGTTGCCGTCCGTCGACAGCTCCACCTTCTCCACCGCCGCGTTCCTCGCCGCGCCCAGAACGTAAAGCGCGAAGTAGTACGGGCCGCTGCTCCTCTCGATCATGACCGCCATGCCGCGGCCGTTCGTCGGGCAGTCCACGCTGCGGTACTCGACCTCCACGCTGCCGGATCGGTCGCGGACGATTTTGTCCCACGCGGGGTTGTTGAGCGTGAAGCCGTCGCCGTCGTTGTTCATCGCGCGCACCGTCACGCTAGCTCCCTTGTTGCACCTCTTGCTGTTCTTGCAGGTAACCTGGTAACACGTTCCGCAGGCCTTCCCGGCGTCGAACTTGCTCACGGGAATCTCAGCAACCATGCCCTTGTCGAAAAAGGGATTGTCGCCGAAATTCTTCAACTCAGGGTAGCACGAGGCGCCTTTGTTAAGGTCTTCTGATCTGGCAGATACGGCGTCGGCAGGATTGAGGGCGAGAGCTAGCAGGAGAATTCCCACGCACAGCAGGCCACCGACTTTAGAAACGAGAGCCATCGGAGTGTAGGGAGAAAGAAAGATTCGCTGAGGGCTAGCTGAGCTCTTTATTTGTGACTAGGAACAGCTCAAAATAAAAGACCAGACTTGAAACGTGGAGGCTTGAATATCAGATTCTCGGCGCTGGGCATAAGTCGATATTGATGAGAGTAGGTGCAGAAGCAGGAGATTAATATAGGTGAACGAGTGGTAGGAAAGAATTGGGAGTTGGGGCTTGGCTCGAGTCGCCATCGCGAAGCGATCCGAGATTGGGGCTGTGCTGTGGAGTGACAATTATTTTGTTCTCATGGCGAACTGACTGCGTGGCGACGACAACGAAACCAGGTGTAACGACGTTCGTCACCAGCGTGAGGGTTCACCGATAATTGTTTGTAGTGACCATAATTGTGAGTTTCTGCTGCAAACCACACATCGCTCCGTCAGTTTCGGGTTCCTCCAGCGAGTTGTTTCGCGGTGAGGCGAAACAATTATTGGAGCTTCGCAACGTCGTGGTTTTCTGAATGCGTTCCTTATTGGTTGGTCAAGAATCTGGTAACTCTGCTCATTTGGCGACCCACACCACATCCAGCTTTCGCGGGTGGTAGGACGTTTTCGCAGCTTTCGTATTTCGCAGTCCCCACTACCCACCCTTCACTGAACCCACTAATGGAGCAAGAAATACAAAAAGCTAGTATTTTTCAGTGAGGGAACATTCCTGTTGGGACACTTCTGTCTCAATCACTTTGTGACACCCAAAAACAACATAAACTGTATTGTGTCCCAAATGCGAGTCGCTTTGCAGCGACTTCTACTGTATTTTTTATTGGTCAGCGTGAAATGCCGCTGACGTCGCTGACGAATTGCGAAACGACCTGTCATTGTTTAAAAATCGTACTCGACTCGAAATGCCCGACACGACCACATGCACCTGGACACCTGAAAATGCCGATTTCGCGGGGGAAAAATTCCCGCGCATCGAAACCACGCCCCTGCCCGGAGGTTGAAAAAACGGGTGTACTGTTACCCAATCAAAGCACACAACTGTACATTTCTCTTTGATCGCAGCCAATGAAAAATGTCCAACTGTACCTGCCAATCTGTCACCCTACGTCGCGGTACATTCGATATTTGTGACGCGACATTGGGTAAATTTACAGGCGCGACTCGGGAAAATGGAGATTGAGACACAAGTGTCTCCACAGGAACGTTCCCTCAAATAGTATATGCGAGCACTCTAGCTTGTAACTCGTGCAGTACCCTTTTCCCTTGGGTTTACATGCAACACGCCGTGATCCTCCTCCTCTCCTCTCCTTCCCCCCCCCCTCCCCCTCCCCGCGCCGTATCTGTGCCATGTTCCGCCATTCACTCAAGAGGCGTTAAAAGTAACGACAACCCCTCCCACCACCAGCGGAGTCACCATCAGGGCCCAAAATATCAGGGTAAAACGCCCTGATTACCCTGGGGGCAGGTCGCTTTTGCAAAAATCAGGATTCCACGAAAGTTACCCTTTTGCAAAAAGAGCATGTTTTTTTTTTATCCTGATAGGATTTATGGTTAGCTTGACAGTATCAGGGTAGGGTGTAGACTACCCTGATACCGAAACCTTTTTACAGCGGATCAGGCCATACTCCGCTTGGTGACGAACTGTACCACACCCACACAAACAAGCGTTGTCGCTTCTTACCACTGGCATACAACCAAGAGTCGTTGTCGGCGACACGCCATGTCACCTCATTGGTTGTTTCACCCAATGAGGCGACACCCAGTTTGTAGAAGAAGTAGTAGGCAGTGGGGTTGGCACTGAGAAGGTGTGTTGTGAATGTGATGCTCTTCATGATCTCATGGACTTTGTGAGTGCTACTTTATTATGTCATTGTAGATAGCTTAGCTCACAAAATAGTAACTGAAACAGGGTTGGCCTAAAACTACCCTACTCAAATCAGGCTAGTGGTTGATTTACCATGCTGCAAACAGGGTACGAAAAAAATTACCCTAGGGGTCGGGGTAAGGAGGGGCTGGAACCTTGATTTGTAAGGGTAGGCCTAAACCAATTTTGGGCCCTGGCACCATCTCGCCGCATAGTCGCAATCAAAGCAATCCGCGGCTTGTGGAAGTATCGCGCCGTAAAATCATGGCCACGTGGAAGCTAATTAGTAGTAGTCCAGGGAGGCAAGGCCGCGGTGGGAGGCGCCGCCTTGGTTTGCGACGTGAAGCGAATAAGTGGCAGCGCGAATTTTATGGCTTTTCGCGCTGTGTTGATGCCACTCGCCTAGAGAAAGCCGATTAGGACTTCGATTTGAAATTCCTTTTCATATTTATTTTTTACATTTGTTTCACATTCCATCATACTCGAGGGTGACAATTGGGAGGACATGCAATTATACCTAAGAAGGAACCCTCTGTTGAAGGAAGTTGGCCCCGCCCTCGCCTGGGCAAAACTGACTTCGTGGTCGGGTGTGTGGGAGGTGCAGCCGACCCTCTGCAGTATGAGAAATCTGGAGCTTCTGCGCAGGTTGGGTTGCCTGTACAGGTGTACTAGGGAACCTATGCAAGAGTAGTTCAAGCATCCGCAGTGCAACACAAACGTCTCGTACACATGTGCGAGTGATGCAGCTGGTGCAGAGATTCGCGGATGTTCATCTTCGCAGGGTCGCGTCTGACCGTGCGCACCCTCGCGAATGCATAGGCAAATTTTGGCCGAAAATTTCGACAAATGAGGAGCTGAAATTTCAGAATGTCGATCGAGGTGTTCGACGAAGGTGGTCGACGAAGGTCGTCGACTCGCTACGACGAAGGTCGTCGACCCGCGACGACGAAGGTCGTCGACCTCCGATGACGAAGGTCATCAACCTGCAGGGTTGCCGGGGACTTTACCCGGTCGACCGAGTTACCTGCTCGACGAGGTTCTACAGAGGTGCGCAAACGTCGTCGAGGCTGCTGTGGCAAAGTCGACCGACGTGGCACCACGTGGTCGACGTGGCTCATCAGGTGCAACTGTCTGCATGTGGCCGACCTAGCACCTGCGCAATGTGCGCGATAGTGCACGTCGTGTGGAACTGTCTACAAGCACCTTCGAAGTAGGTGCTTGCATATGCGCTTACAATCACCTGCGGGTGCGATGTTGGCAAGCCGCGTGGGTGCAGCGTTGGCAAGTCGCGCGGGTGCAGTGTTGGCAGGCCGCCTTTTTGCAGCGTTGGCAAGTCGTACATGAGCTACGTTAGTCGCCATGGTCGACCCCGTAGCTGATGCGGGAGTAGCGGACACCTTGGAGGCACGCTTGGCTGATTCGTGGAAACGCACTGAGGATGGCGAGTACGAGACGATCCCCTGGGCAATCGTCGAGTTTGGCATCCGGGCGCAATGGGCGACGGAGCACCCTTCTTGTTCTGCATCTCCTCGACCGGTACGAAACGAAGGTGGCGTCGTCGACGAGGTCGACAGCGGTGCACAAGTCAGCGGCAACGATGGCACGAAGCAGAGAAGGGTGATCAAGGTCGACGGTGGCATCGACAGGAGTCAGGCGAGAGTGCAGTGGTCGACGGCGGCTGAAGGCAGCTCGGGTGCCGACGTCGATGGTCGACGTCGCTCTCCTCTACAAAGCGGTGGAGGGTTCTCGGCGACGACGCACAAGACGGCAGGCAGGATCGCCTCGGCATATGGCTACTTCAAGTTTTCGCCGAACCGGATCGCCGTCACACCGCTGCAAGGTCGACGGGACCTCATCACTTGGAGTGAGTCGATAGAACCTCAGCTGGAGGTCGCCGGGCTGAAGGGCTTCGCCGACGGCACTGTGCCGATTCCGCCCGTGGACGATGTCGAGCTGCGCGGGGTGTTTTGTGCT